TATGCTATGCAATGTAAACTCCCACAACTACGGAAGAAGATGCGTTCATATACTCTCAAATTACTTGTTATTTATAGTATTTGTTTAGTATATATGGTTTTTAGTCAAACAATTGTACCTTCAACAATTGATTTTTGAGAAATTTATATAGTTTAACATTGTAAGATTTACATTTTCTTATATTTATCACTGAACATACTTCCATAATATATAATATACTCCATTTAAACTTTAACTACCCATCTTTAAAAAAAACAATAAATACTTGAAAATATGTTATATTACCGAAGTACATGGTGTCATAAATATAACCCAATAAATTTCATCCATCATACTATAATAGTAACTTATTAGGAGTAATTTGTGGTCAAAGTGAGACCGCCGTAGTGAATATCTATAGTTATTCGAGAATAGAGGGGGTAATTCGCATGTTAATATACTATATGAGTTTTTGCTTGTGTTCGTGAAAAAAAAAAGAGTTTTTGCTTAGCTGTTTGGAGGGGCATTGAGCATACAGCTCTAGCTCCTTGTTAGTCTAGTGGCGGTCGGTTCGATGCTAGTCTTTTTATGGTTGTGTGCGAAGGCGATTTTAGTGTGTGGTGAGGACGTTTTTTTGTTCTCTTTTCCTTGGCTATATTGTTTTAGGGTTATAGTCAATTTACTCATGCTTTGTTCACTGAAACTTCGCACTATCTAGGTGCCACTGTTAAAAAAAATATGATTGTAAAATATAGAATTATTTAATTTTTAATAAAAAAAAAGATTGACGTCAGTAATACACAAGGCTAAATCCGGTGGATCTTAATTTTTTAAAAGGGGAAGTACAGAAGGAGAGAGTGACACTCCAAATCTCAAAAGCCCTTTTGTTTGTGAAAAGGAAAAACCTGGATGCATCATGCTCCTGCATGACTGGATGTAGGCTGTGCAGCATCACCAAACTTCTGGGCGCGGCAACCAACCAAACCAACCAACAAACAACAAACAACCATGCGTGCGCGGGCTATCTGGGGTAGGCCCCGCGCCGAGGATATCAAGCCAACCCCGCACAGCACCGCCCGGCACGGACGCGTAGCCCCGTCCATCCGTGTCGCGCGACCTTCACCTGATCCTGCCTCCCTCCCCCTCCCCACCCATCCAGAAGAAAAAACTGACCCGAGATATGAGATATGCATGATCCCGTTCCCAGTTTCTAGGCTTGCTCCACGAAACGTGCCGCCTTCCCTCATTCGCATGTGCATCTCCCCAAACTTTGCTAACTCTTTTCTCGACGGTCCATGCATCGAAATCCTTCGTGAAGCACCATCCACCATCATGATAACCACTAATATTACGTGTATGTAAGAGTGTTTGTAACAAAAATTTAGTGAGATTAGAAATATATATATATCATTAATTTCCGTCTGGTAGAGCATGTGTTAAGGTACACGTATATAAGGTGTGAGTCCGGTGTTATGTGTGTAGTGATGTGTATGCGTGGTGGGAAAGAGAACACAATAATTAAGGATTTGTCACTTATAGTCTATGACACATGATTAAATATCTCTGGAAACTAACGTGCGCCGGTGCGCGTACGCGGTACACCTTTGCCCGTGACTTAGCGATGAAGTCGGGCCAGCTAGAGACTGCGTGTGACATGTGCACCGAGGCGGCCGGCAGCGGAGAGCTAGCTAAGCTAAGCTAGATCGACGAATCGTACCCGAGAAAAGCCGGCTCGGGCGCGCGGCCACCACCGCCGCTAGCTATCTCCTCGCGCGCGCGAGGGGACGGGACGACGAATCGATTCCATCTCCCGTGCGCGCGCGGCGGCCGTCCCGTTTCGTCGGCTGGTGAATGGCCGTGCTTTTCCCATGTGGATGTGGGATTTTTTTTGCGGTGGCGCGCGCGCGCGGTCCAGGTGATGAGGAGATTATTCGACGGCGCGCGCGTGCTGCGGCGTACGACGTACGCACGTGTGTGGGACTGTACGTGAGGTGGTCCAGTGCAACGATATTGCGCGTGTAGCGTGTGCGTGACAGCGTGAGGGGACGTGGAATGGAACGGATCGTCCTACTGTGACTCCTGCGGCTGATCGATCTGTGCGATGGGTGACTGCGACGTCGGCGATGTTTCGGTGCCGATGACGATGGAGTTAGCTGGGAATGGTCGAGCATGGTTTGACTTGACCCCACAAGTCTACTGCAACGCAAAGTATCAATAGGAGGTGTTATGAAACGACTGATAAATAAACGATAAAAAATAATAGATCAATCACAGTAGACACAAGATTTAATGTGAAAAACTCTCTCAAAGCAGGAGAGAAAAAAGACAGGTGCAAACCGGCAAAATATTTTTACTATATCGGAGTGAAGTTATAATGCCGAACGGTGGCTTACAGAAAGTATATATATGAAGGTAAAACCCTCCGCTTTGCTCCGTCCGAAGTTGGCCTTATCGATCGTGCGTACGTGAGACAAGCGTCTAATGCTAGCTAGCTCAGCTGTGGGCAATTGTGATGATCAGGTCAAACCAGTTAATTAAAAGCCTGTATATGTAGCATTTTTCAACTACCCTTTTGTTCTTGTTGGTGAATCTATAGCAAGGATTAGTTTCACTGCAACTTGTACACATGCTGGTTGGTAGCTCAGTTCTATTACTGGTACAGACAGTCAGACGTACTAGACATCATGCATGTCACGTATGGATGAGATTTCTCTCCGCAGGAGCAAGCCACGCCAGTATGAGTATGGCAGCATGCAATGTCTCCACTAACCTTGCCCCCCTGCCACAACTCCAACCCCATCGATCGATGGCCGATCGATTTATCACTCTCTCAGAAACCACTCCTGCTACTCCACGACAGACTTGATGCATGGGTCCTATCAATTCTGTTGAATAGTAAAAGAAGGGGATCACACTGTATAATATTAAACATCTCTGTACCAATTTTGTTATATATTTGTCGACAAATGTTCTCCTAAATATTTGATAGATGTAATTACAGTACAATCGTAGTGTAATTACACTGTAAATTGTATGTAAACTTTCATATGATTTTAAACTGTTAGATTTGTTTCAAGATTTATGCAAGTGAACAAGAAAAAAGTCACTGTGCGTATATATGTGAGAGAATTCATTTCCACAACCTCCGCTTCACCGAAATAGCATGTTACGGAGAGATTTTTGAAAGTTATTTGTAAGTTACATGTAATTAGCAGTGTAATTACATCACGATTGTACTATAATTATATCTGTTAAATTTTTAGGAGAAAATTTATCGATAAATGTATAGGTGATCTATTAGAGTTTCATTCATATATACTTTAACATCTTCGGCAATTTAAATGTGAGCTTGACGTTTGAAAAGGTATCAATCACACACATTCCTCCCCTAACGTTCATTGAAGAAATCGATCGAGCACGAAACAAATAATGACCATAAAACGTGAGGCCGATCGATACCCAGAATGAGGCTAGCTAGAAGCAGCTATGACTATGATACGATCGAGAGACGCTTCAAGACTGACGTGAAGCGACCGGTCGAAAGCGAAGAGAAGAAAGAATCCCCTTCAATTCGTTCGCGGTGGCACGCGCGCCGGCCACACGTTCGCCGAGCCGCACAAACGAGAGATCGAGCATCCTGCGTGCGGTCATGTGGCGCGCCTTCTCTGCGCCCTGCAAAAGATCTCGCGCGCGCGCGGAGAGAATGATCCAGGTAATAACACGACGCCGACGTGCGGCGGCGGCGCGGTCTGGAGGCGGTGTCAGCGCGCGTCACGTCGCGCCGCCGTGCGCGCGCGGGCAGCCGTGGTGAAATCGCTGGCTACCCCAAGACCTGTTCACTTGGATGATAAAAAAAAAACTTACCAAATTTTAGCAATGTTACCAAAATTTTAACATGATTTCTTATATAGTTACCAAAATTTGACAGCAAACTAAATGTAGCTACTTTTTTGATAATTTTACCAAAACTTGGTAAGGTTAAAAATGACATAAAAATAAACAAGCCCTTATTTGAACGACGAATTTGTCTGGGCACCATGCGCAGATTGTATTACGTAGTAAACCTCTGTTTCATATCACGGGTTGTTTGACTCTTTTTACAGTTAAACTTGTTTAAGTTCAACCAAATTTATAGAAAAATACAATAATATTTTCATCACAAAACAAATATATTATCAAAATATATTCAATGTTAGATTTAATAAAACTAATTTTCTATTTTATATGTTGCTAAATTTTTCTACAAATATAGTTAAACTTAACCAAATTCAACTAGGAAAAATAAATAAAATGGCTTATAATATGAAATAGATAGAGTATTTACGTGCGACTTTGTCACTTTGGGTAGATAAAGATATAAAAACTTAATGAAATATGGCTCTCTGGTGAGAAAGCGCAGTACTTAATACACGCAGAGACCAAATCGAATTATGCATCCACTATAAATATAGGAGTTTATCCATGTTTGAATTTGGGGCAATGTCATCCACGATCAGGATAATTAAGAAGACACGGAGGAGAAAATTTCCGGTCAACCAGCGAGGCCTATAGCACGCTTACGTTTAAGCCCATCATAGTTCACCTCATATGTGACCACCACAAGAATATCCTTCATTTCCGTAATCCACCCAAACCGCCTCGAAACAGAACGCAAAAACAAACCCGACCTTGAACTCGAAACAGGCGCACATCCCACACCTACCCATTTGACCGTACCCCAAAACAACCGAGAAATTAGCGGGAGAGATCGACAAGCAAGAAACACACCCGAAACTAACCCAAACACGAACAAAACCCCCAAAGCTAATAAAAAAAGCCATCCTAATCTGAATCACACCGCCCCTAGCCGCAACCCCAACAAAAAAAAAAAATCCCCTTATCCCCAAACGCGACTCGCGCGCGCGCGGTCGCGGCTTGGCTAACGACGCGCGACGCGACGCGGCCACGACGTGGTTTGGTTTGGTGGTTACGGCGCAACGGCCGGTTCAGACCGCGAGATCGGCTATAAAATCCAGCGCGCCCGCGTCGCAACGAGGAGACCCCTCCTCCCCTCGGCAACGTAACACAAGAGAAGAAGAGATCGCCATGTCCAACGTGCCCACCTCCCTCCGCGACTCCTCCCTCACCGTCTTCCGCCTCGCCATCTCCAGCTCCGACCCCTGGCCCTTCTCCCTTTAACCCCATCAAACGCTTCTTCCTCTTCCAAGAAGATCACAAGCTTCTTCGTGTTCTTGTTCTTCTTCGGATCACTCGGTTGGTTTCTTGGTTTCTTGGTTTCTTGGATTGTTGCGAGATGCACGGGAAGCATCAGCATCAGCAGCAGCAGCAGCAGCAGGGGGGGATGGTGGTGGTGGCGCCGAAGGGGTGCGTGACGGTGAGGGTGGGGGCGGAGGGGGAGGAGCAGCGGCGGTTCGCCGTGCCGCTCGCCCACCTCAAGCACCCGCTCTTCGGGGCGCTGCTCGAGGAGGCCGAGCGCGAGTACGGCTTCGCGCAGCGGGGCGCCATCGCCATCCCCTGCCGCGTCGACCGCTTCGTCCACGTCGAGCACCTCATCGTCCAGGACCTCCACGGCGCCGCCGCCTCCCACCTCCTCGACCTCGACTCCTCCTCCCACCACCACACCCAGATCCACCTCCACCTCCCCCGCTTCGCCGGTTGCTTCCGCGCCTGATCCTTCCATCATCTCCATGGATGCATCGCCATGGCGGTGGAGCGGAGCTCCCAGATTGCTCTTCTTCTTCTTCTTCAGGGTTGGTTGGTCGATTAATTACTTAGTTTAGCTAGTTTTTTGGTTTCCTTTTGCTTCGTCCTCCGATCTCTCGGTTTGTTGGGGATGGATTTCGATTGGGTTTGTGGACGGGAGAATCGGAGGACGGATTCGATGCTGATGACGACGAAAAATTGAGATCGATCTCAAAAGTGTAAAGACAGAGTAATTCTTCTTAGTAGCTTTATTCTAGTTTTATTTTTTTTATCTTTTTTCTTTGCTTGTACATCCACTTCTTGAAACACATCAATAATACAGTATACTTTGATCGATATCCTTGTTAATTTAATTTGTACTTTGTTTTTTTTTGCTAATTGTTTAGCCTTTGACAACGCAATTGCCACATCACAAACGCGTGGATTCAACGTTATTTATAATGATAAAATACGTCTTTTTTCGGCAAGCATGTTGCTTTCGCTTGAAGCCTTCGACGGACGGAATTAATTTCGAAGGAAAACTTCACACGAAATGAGTTATAATTAGTAGTATTATTAATCTTTGCGTGCGTTTGGTAAGAAATAATCTTTGTGTGCGTTTGGGAAAGAAATAGTCGCTGTACTGGTTTAAAGACAGAATTAGAAACGTAAGTACTTTCGTTAAAGTTGTACTACAATTACAAACTCAAATTGGCGCTTCATATATTCCGTTCCCCACCTTTCTCATTACTCATTAGCTTATTCCTAAGTAATATTCTATATTCCGTGTAATATTCTTTTTGAAGGAAGGCAAAAGCTTACTTTTATAGTGATATTGATAGAGAAGTAAAAACCTCTCTCTGATAATCTCTCTTGAGTTTTACGGTCCCCGCCTTGATTTAAGTTTGCAAATATTCGGGGGCTAGGAGTATTTACATGGTCTGCATTAAAACAACACTGACCAAAAAAAAAGTTGTGGGAACTACTCTCCGAAGGGGATAATCTGTGAAATTTGAGGGAACTACTCTCCAAAGGGGATAATCTGTGAGTTTTACGGCCACTGCCTTTGTGGTTGTTTTAATGTGTTATTTATGACAATCTAAAAACTTTTTTTTTTTAGAAAGAGAGCAAGAACTCTCCCATTTCATTACTGAAATGAGGTGACAAAAGTCTTGAAAATCTGAAAACTTCTACTATTAAGTTGCAAAAATGAGCTCAATAAATATTTTTCCTTGCTACTCCCTCTGTTCTAAATTATAAGTATTTTTTTTATCCTAACACGGTCTCCAAGATGTTATTTTGACCAACAATATCTATAAAAGTAAGATGATTTAAATAAAAAGAGTTGCATATTACAATAGTTTATTTAATGATAAATCTAGAAACATTAATTTTTACATGATTGATTTTTAATTTTTTATTATTAATAATCAAAGTTAAAAATGTTTGACTTGTTATTATGCTAAAAATACTTATATTTTGGTACAGAGGGAGTAAACACTATACCATGACATCGAATTCAAAGTTAAGAAACCACGGTAAACTACATACTGGTAAAATAGTTTCAACATGCTATATGCCGATAGTACTAAAGCGTAATTACATTCTTACCTTTATTTTTAACTCAACATTGTAATTTTGCGCTCTTTTTTTTTTCGAACAGAAGCTTTTGCACCCATTCAAGTCGTATTGATGGTGTTGAAGACATGTATGACATTTGCAGAGTTGGCCCCTAATTTTGGAGGACTTTCTGATTTTGTCCCTGTTTTGACATTAATGTTACCCCTGTTTTGACAAGGCTTTTCACATAATTCAGTTTCAAAATTTAAGATCAAGGATAAGCTTGGCATAAATTTTGGACCATGTTTTGACATGAATTTTTAACACAGTTAAGAGGACTTTAATGGAATTGAGGAGAACACTAGATTCATTTTTCTTCTTTAAAAAGACAAGGTCAAAATCATAATTAGAGTTGAAAGGGGAAGTAAGAACACAATTGCCAAAAAGAAAATCTTTGATGCAATAGAAGGAAAAAAATGTGATTATTTAACTTTGGATTAGTACATATTAAATCAGTACATCTCATATGGGTTAGCAAATGACGAATCCACTCCACATATGCTCCTCTTCTTCCAAACATGCTACTAATAGACAATTAAAGCACGCACTAAACATGCTACTAATCAGCAACTAATCACGCACTATTTATTCACAAAAGGAAGCCGCCTTGAACCCGTCCAAAATTTCACTGTCAAAACCTGCCATTTTGATTTTGAATGGCTTTCTCACGTTGAGATTAGCGTAAATATGGTGGTGATGAGAGAAGTAGCAGTGGTTGAAGGTTGACGCGCCAATGAAAGCTTGGAGGCGACCAAATTATGGCGGTTAATTAAATCTTCGCAAACACGCCTAGCTACCAAACTCTTCGAGTTGAATCAATTTGCATGGTCAAAATTCCAGCCGGAGCCCCAGTTGTTTGCAGAAAATTCCGGAATTTGGCTGCAATTTGGGTATACTATTCGGTGACAGCACCAACAAGGCAACAAGCAAAACCTTTTCCTGTTCCCACTTGCCTGGTGCCATACGAGACGCTCGTGTTCCTTAGCCAAAGAATACCCAACGTTGCTCTGGATATTTTGGGGATTTTTATGGCGTTCCTTTTAGTGTATTTGTGGATTTCTCTGGTATTTTTTCTATATATTTTTGCGTAAGGTTTTTTGGAACTCAGGAATTTATATGATTTTTAAGGTGTTCAAATCTTGCAAAAAAAAAAAACTATGATCGATGTTGTTTTATTTTTGGAAAACTATGATATTCGCTTGTTCCAAAGGAGGTTATAATATTATGTTTTTTCCCAAAGAAAAAGCAAATATTAGGAAACGACCTAATATCAAATAAATAGAATGGACGAGGCTTCAAACCCAGAACGGCTAACGTACCATCTCGTAAAGCTAGCCGGAAGACCCTTGGAAAAAAAAAACATCTACGAAACAACATGTCACAAATCAACACTTAAAATTAAAAGATTGAAAAATAGTATCAACTAAGAATTCCCGAAAAAAAATCAACTAATAAAGGACCGTATTGAACACATTTAACATGGTTATGTTTTTCTTTCATAGAAATCGGCTTAATACCCACAAAAACCGTGGCACGATAATCTATTTGAGACACCACATTGAATGGTTTCTGCGCATATGCCCAATATATTCGGGGAGTTAGGACAGCTACCATTCAAGCCGTGACTCACGGCGCAAAATTGATTAGCAAACTCGGCTTTGTTTGGTTAGACGTATCCATCAGGGAATAATCAAAAGTCCGGGTCTTCGCATAATGACAACCATTAGCTTTTTTACTTTGCCACCGTAATAAAAACCCTCAATTAGGAAGCCGAGGCTTTGCGTTGAAGTGGAAATGAAGATGAAAGATGCAACTATTCCACTCAGAAATATTCCCTCGTTTTTTAATAGATAATGTTGTTGATTTTTAAACACATGCTCGGCTATTTATTTTATTAAAAAAATATGCAAATGTATAAGATATAAGTCATGTTTAAAACATTTTAAATAATAAAATAACTCGCAACAAAATAAATTATAATTATGTAATGTTTTTAATAAAATAAATTATCAGACATGTGATAAAAAAAGTTAACGGGCTCATCAATTAGAAACGGAGGTACTAGTATTTAAAAAAGAAAAGACGAACTGACATTAGGGCATTAGGCTTAATCAAGTGGAGTACATGCATCTATATGCGCCGAAAGCCTGGGAGCAGAACAAAGCTGCTTTCCAACGACGTTTCCTCTGTTGCTGTCACACTGGAATATCATTCTACTTATCAACTGTGCTCTGCTAAAATTGCTTCTAGAAGAGTAGGAAAAGTTGCTTAACTGTACTTTAGTTGCCATGCTTTGCATAAAGTTTATAGTATGGGTTATCTATTTTGATAATTAAAATTAGCAAAATGAGTACTATCTGGTCTAAGAAATACGATATTTTTAAAAAAGGAAAAATATTTTTAGAGACATGATCAAATAATCCGTGGCAATAATACAATGAGCTATTCCCCTTATTTTAAATTTAGCTGTCTAAGTCAATCATGTCTATATTAATTTGACCATCATTTTTTAAAAATACATATAGTTTTAAAAAATATAAATTATATAATTTCTTAGGTGATTAAAACATAAATCTTACTATCACCTTCCCCAAATGTTTGGCGTTGGTTAGTTAAGTTTTGAACAAACCAATGTCAAATAAAAAAAAAGAAAGAGTATGATGCTAAACTATATAAGTTTTTACAAATCGATGATCAAATATTAAAATATTTGACTTAGAGAAAAACTGAAAACACAAGTAATTTAAAAAGAGTAGCTAAGGACATCCACAATGTAGTAAAAAACTACAGCAAGCATTAAATATTCTCTTGTTACCTAGCAACAAGTATTGTGAGAGTGATGAATAACTACTACTTGGTTATATGGCTACTACCGACAACAAGTAATAAAATGTTATTTGTACAGTGTTGATGAGTATTAATGAATTCTTTTCTTGGAAGAGTCACGACAGCTGAGGATTGGTGAGTTTTTATGGTGGGCTCATGTTATACCCTACCATCAAACAAAAACAATGTGGAGTTCATCTCCTACTACTAGGGTTTAATATTTCGGACCGAAATTTCGGTCATATCGGACCCCCCCCTTACGATATCATTTTGACAGAAATTTTAAATATTTAATTTTTTATGAATGTTAGCAATATTTGTTCAAATTTAACTAAATTTTGTTTAAAATTTTAGAAATCTCGCCATATCGGCATCCTCTTATACAAATACCGAAACCGAAAGATTGAGCTCTGCATGCTACTACTGCCTGTTGTCCGGCCTACATTACTACCGAGCTCGGTAGGAAATGGCCTACATTATAGCCCTAAAACAAATGGGCGTAAACTTTTTATGGGCTTTATTGGGCTGAATGGGTTGAAGAGACCGAGGTCAAAGCGCCACGGTGGACAAAACCAGCGCCACGTAGGACAAAATCGTGTGAAATACTGCCCTAGGACCACTTGTGACCGGTTTTAGTAAAATACTGCCCTAGGACCACTTGTGACCGGTTTTAGTAAGTTAAGGGACCCCCGATATCTGGTTTTACGGTTTGAGGATGTTTTTTTTTATAGTGACAAGTTGAGGGACCTTCGGTGTACTTTTTCCGAAGAGAAATCATAGAGGACTTAATTGAACAGTTGTTCATGGGCTAAGTTAGGGCAAAGACTTGTTCATGGACCAAGTCAGCGCAAACACTTGTTCTGAGGTGCTCGAACTGCATTTGCCAGTAAAAGTGACAGATATGAATGGCCTC